TATCATATACTATAGATATAGAGGCTCTTAGGGCTGGATACTGAACTCTGTCCATATGCTATATGTTAGGTTTAATGGACATGAGTTTATTCAAACTGGACAACAGCCAGTATTACAGACCACTGGATTCCTTTTTACTAAATGAGGAACAATAACCTCTGCTCCAACTAGTATCAAATATTTTGAAATGTAACTGACAGGCCAGTATTCTTGTGCTTAATTGATACTTACATAATATTATCATTTTTACATATAAAATTCCTTACTCTACATATTATTTTCATATAGATGCTATAAACTAATTTCAAAGATAGTAAAATGAAAGAATATGCACTAGTAACTCAATAAAATATATTCAGAACTTAGATGCAAATGGAATTTCTATGTGCAAAATACTTTTTAATTAAGTTTATGATTAAAATTTCAGAAATGCTTTCTTGTAAATTAAAATATTTTCGTATCACATTATATCTGGAAAAAGATATAGTATCACTATTTCTGAGAAGACAGATCTCAGGTCATAAAGCAGAATAGGTGTTTTCAACTCCTCGCTATTATTTTTTCTTTGTATTCTGTATTCTTTGTACCATCTCTCTCCTTTGCCATATGCATTGTAGGCGGGATGTTTTCTGATGTTACTATGTCTAGCTTTGAAAGACTCTACTTTCAAACAGTTTATTTACTTATGTGCTTCACTGTCCCTGAGTAAAACTAAGTTCTAGGATGTATATCTAGTTTTACTAATACCCTTTAAAAAAATAAAAATTCAAATTTCCTGTTACCCTAAAGGAATTTAAACAGTAACACCGTATATCAATTACAAAAATTATAATGGAAACCAACATATCATGCAACTTTCTTACAGATCTATATGTCTATCATTTTATTCAAAACCTCATATGTGATTAGAATATACTTTATAAGTTATAATGGTCTTTTATCAGTTATATCAAGGATTAATCTATAATAATAGGATTTCAAACCCATGTTAGATCAAAACAATCCAGGAAAAATTGTCTTTTAATGTTCCATCATCCTGTTTTTCTTTCTTTCCTGCAACGAATACACTGTAGCTTAGTCAAGATAATTAAAGGAAACAACTTTCTTTAATGAGGAAAAAAATAGCACTGAAAAGTGAAGAGCTTCAAAAACATGGCACCAACGTACATGACTTCCAGTGGCATGGAACTAACTTTAAAAATTTTTTGTGTGAATATGGATTTGGCAAAACCCTAAAAGACTACTTAGTAACTGATAAAGGAGAATCAAAGAAAAGTTTAAAGAAATTCAAATAAAATAAAACAATCATGAACAAATAAGTTTCAAAAGGATAATTTTTCATATTTTATTAACTACTGTAATTCAAATCCAAAGTGTCTAGTCCAACTTCTAGGCCCCTTGACTTACTTTCTCTTCTTTCAGCTTCCTGCTTTAACCAAGTAGCAAATGTAAGTAGAGGAGGCAGGGGACCTGGGTCCTAGATATACCACTTGCTATATGACCTTGGGTAAACAATTTACCTTTTCTGGGTCTCTAGTCACTCATCAATAAAATTGAAAGGTTGAAAATTACATGAATTTACTATTATCACCTAGAAATATCTGACTTACAACTGGACTTATATCTCCATTCTCTAAGTCCCAGAAAAAACTGTTTATTCTTTGTAATGTCTACCACTCTTTAAGCTCTATGTTCCCTGCCCATCTTAATTATTGCTGAATATCTGGCTCATAGCAAATAGTTACTATTTGTAGAGTGAATAAGTGAACTATTAAATACTTATGCTTCTCTATACCACTAGGAAAAACCTAAGACTGTTTCTGGAGGCTTAGGATTCTTTCGACCTAAATGCATACATAATATGAATACATACACACAATGAATGTTTTTTCCTGTTTGAAAAAAATTCCTGCTTATGAAAATATTAGTATTCTCTTGAGTCAGGATTTGATGTTATCTTAGCAGTTGAAGTGTGTTTTGTAATTGATAATTTGTTATAATCTTAATAATAGTTTAAAATGTCTGTAACAGTGGACATTAAGGAGAATAACTATTTTCATAAGCTATAACTTTAAAAAATACTACTTATGTAACTTGATATTTTTTAGAAAACTTTAAAATGGTTTAATCACAACAGGATTTACAAAATAATTTAAGTTTCAAACTGGGTTATTAGGTGATTAGGTTCCCTGAGTCTATGCCTCTAATCAGCACAATGAATATATGAAAACAACAAATAAAAAAAGAGAAAAGCAAAAGTGGGGTAGAAACATTTTGTAGAACATGTTTACAAAATTTAAACATTATTTCATGTGGAAAATACCAAGAGTACTGTGTCTTTGAGTCAAAGCTTGCTATTTTAAACACATATAGAATTATCTTTTAGTTTTGTAAAATAAAAATGGCATTTATGGGAAAAATCCCCATAAATATTTACAAATTTTTAGACTGGAATACTAAATTTTAAGCTCTGTTATTTTTAAAACATAAATTCATAAAAATTATTTTTCATAATAATCCTACTTCCTAGGCGACTATGAACAATTACAAATTAGAAATTAGATACTCTTATTAATTATTTAAGAAACCATTTACAATTCTCTTACAGAAATGATTCTCTGAGTCTTTTAGTTACCATCATATATTTTCCAGATCCCAACCAAATTATTCATCATATTCTTAAATTGATGAATTATAGACACTATGCAATATTTGTAACAAAAATAAACATCTATTTTAATTCTTTCTCTGTCTCTATAAAAATACAGATACTGTTCTTAGAATCCTATGCTTTTCAAAAGTTCACTGTATAATACTTTATTCTTTGAAATATGCAATCACTTTTCACTGAAACCAAATATTAAGAATGATGGTTAAACTTCTAGGGTGACTCTGAAAATTACCCATATTCACCTGTTCCCCTATTATATTCACTCATATTTACTTACTACATATAAAATGAACCCATGTTCTATATAATATAGGGAAGGAGTTTTTTTATCTAGTTCATCAAATGTGGAGAGAAGCCAGTTGATAACTAAAAACCACATACTTAACCCTAAAATGTCCTAAGGGATAGTAGGCCAATACCTAACTTTAATTAATCTAATCCTATTTAAAACAATTTTTTCATATAATCTTTCAATGAATCAACTTGAACTAAGAGGATACATCTAAAGGAGACAGCCAATGAAAGTTAACATTTATTTTGCCAACTAATAAGTTTGTTGTTTGAATACTTAATAAGAATTTGAGATAGCTTGGCTCAATATACTGGCATATGAAATATTCCAAATCCAATTTTAGTCTTTCCACTGACTTTTCTACTGTCATGCTTTAAAAGGTCCTGAACTTTCTGTATGTCTCAATTTCTTTATGGAAAACAATAGAAATGTTTTTCCCACTGTCTCTGAACAGTAAGATTAAAAAGTAAAAAAAAAGTAAAGAAGTTGGCAAATATAAAATGCTACATAAAAGCCTATTATTTTTCAAGAAATAGTAAATTAATTTGTATTTTTCCAAATAAAAAATTACCAAGTTTGATACTTACAAGATATATTAAACACTATATTTTCTATATTACAACTAATATATAGATAATACATATACTATAACAGTTAACACTTTATGGCATTTGGTATGTTGCAGGAATTTTTAAAAGAGATATATATATACACACACACATATTTAATAACCCAAGGTGAATTCAATTGTTATACCCATTTCACTAATGAGCAAATTAAAGCACAGAATGTCACATAGCTAGTGAGTGTAGAAATTTAAATCCAGAGTCCATGTCATAGAATTTTACACTTGAAACCTATATAATCTTATTAACCATTGTCAGCCCCAATAAAATTAATTTTAAAGAAGATAACCATATTAAAAATATAAATAAATCCAGACAGCCTGGTTCTGGAGTGCAGCTCTTAACTTTTTTGTAATACCACTCATTTAATGTTGGGAAACTAAGAAAAAGGAAAAAAACCTATTTACATATTATTTTACTTAACAGGGATTATGAAAAGCACTAAGTTTTAAGTAGACTATTTACATTAACCAATAAGTTTGACCATTTCTTCAAATTTCTCTAATACAAGAATTCATATGTTACAGGTGCCCATTTTATTAGGAATGTGGAGCACAGCAAAAAGATGAAATAAATCAGGTCCTCATCTGCAGAATTTCAAGAAAATTTTAAAATAGTTTTAGGAGTAATGGATAATTTTAAAAAAGAGAAAAAGTTAAAATATTAGTGCCTATATAATTTCACAAAGACTCTAAAAAGTTTGTTTCCTAATAACAGAAGCAGAGAAAGAAAAGTAAACAAAATTTTAGTGAATGTTCACAACATGCTAGAACTTTATATACACTCTATCATTTAATAGTCAAAACTCTGTGAGAAATATATCACTATACTAATCTTGCAAATAAACTAAAGCTCAAAACCTTGATAGCTCACCAAAGGTTGTATGCTATAATTTTCAGTACAGTAAATGAAGTCAGTGTTCAAACCCAGAAATGTCTCTAAAGCTCTAAAGATTATTCCCTATTGATTAAAAGAGTGTAATAGTTATTGTCGATCATCTGTGAGTACTATGGTTACAACAGTATAGAAACATACTATTATATTCAGTATTTAATTTTAAGAATTCATTTCATAACCTTACTTTCCCAAAGCTGTAGGGTTGTAACAACAAAAATGTATTTGTCTCACTTTTACATTCTTAACAGAAGCTTTTGCATAGATGATTATAAGGAGTCTAATAACATGAAGAAAAACTTCCGAAGTGTGTGTTCCTCAAATATTTTTTTCTGCTTCAGAGGATTAAAAATGCTTAGCACACTGACTGACACAAAGTAAGCACACAATAAATGTTAGTGATTACTACTGTAGTAAAAAATCCTTCTAGTATTCTTTAATCACAATTATTTTTCCTAAGCTTTATTTGATAAAGAAACTTTATGGAGGGGGATGGAAATCATACCTGTTAACTTACCACAGTACTAGGGATCTTTGGAATACACTTCCATAGAAAGACAAGTAGTAATCTATAAAACAGAGGGAAAACATCAATCCCTGAACAATTCCGAAGTGAATCTTCCTTTCTATTCAGAAGGTACACTGACCCCTTAGAGTCATTAGATAAATTGCATAAACTGTCTTTTCAAACACTAATAAGCTTCCAAAACACTTACAGCCTATGAATCATCAGTGGTCTACAAGACACTGCGTGAAAAATAAATCAATGCTAGTGATAGTGTCTCATTTAGAATGTTTTGTAAATAAATAAAAAAGCAAGTAAGTGAATAATCACTAAACACATTCCATCATTTTTAATTTTATATATGAATCTGCTTTAAAAGCACAGTCTGCCATACCTAAATATGCCAGAAAGCTAAGTTCAATAGCAGGTGATTTAGATATAGTGACAGAATTCAACCAACTGCAATGTGATGCACCTTCTCTGGCTAATGCATATATTTAACTTCTCCCTTACAATTTAAGAAACCTTTGTGATATTTTTGTCTTAATAAAGTTTAATTTATAATACATTTTATAGTGTTCTTAATATTTGTTGCATTTCTTAAAACTTATTAGATTGTTTATTATCTAATACAAACAAAAACTAGATTCAAAGAGGTTTAAGACTTAAAAATTAAAATGAAATAGAGACTTTTTATTGGTAATGTTATGCTGAATTAAAAACTAAATTTCTTCAATGGTCTTGTGAGATCCATCAGTATTTTCAAGGCTAATAATACTTAACGTAACTTAGTAATTTATAGTTACTTCTGAGTGTATGATTCACTGTAAAATTTGGCATTGTATTGCTATCATTTTGCAATTCCATTCTTCTTAAAAGAATATTACATTTTTTTCTCTTAACACTAACAATAATATACCCTAGATTCAGAACACTCAATTTGTGAATGTTAAATTCACCACTTTCCATTGTTATCAGTATTAAAGGGGTTTTATGAGATCTGATCACCATAATGATGATTATATGGGAAAAAAAACTTATGAATTTTATTTTATTTGTGCTAAATTTATTTATTTAGTTACTTTTTCTTTGTTATTGACTTTATTGGGGTGACACTGGTTAACAAAATTATACAGATATCAAGTGCACATTTCTACATCATTTGTTGTACACTGTATTGTATGTTTACCAACCCTAGTTAGTTTTCCAAATTTTAAACTGAAACAAAAATGAACTATTGAAACTTTTATTAGTAGAAAGCATTTGTGTTGAGCATTAAGAACATCAGCCTAAGTTTAAATATTAACCTAAAGATAAAAACAATCCTGGCCTATAAACATTCTACAGTTTAGCTCCTACATAACTCCCTATCACCTTTACCATGTATCTATGGTTTCTAACTTCTGCCACTTTGACCTTAATTTAGTGTTAAGTACTACACTCTCTCTCCACTCATGATCTTTGTACCCTGTTTCTTCCTTCCAGAAAACTGTTTTCTCCTTCTTGATCAAATTAACTGTAATTCATCAAGATTTCAGCTAACCAAACATTGCTTCCAAAAAAAAAAAGAAAAAGAAAAAGAAAAGAAAAGAAATAGGGAAGAGAAGAGAGGAAGGGAAGGGAAGGGGGAAGTGGAAGGGGAGGGAAGGGAAAAAAGAAAAGAGCAAGCTGCCCATGATCCCAGTGATTGGTCAAATTATCCTTCTAAAACCCTTCATATTGAATACCATGTACCTCTCTACAGCAATTGGAACAATTCCAACTTTGTGATTTATTTACATGATTATTTCATTACTATCCTTCTTTAGCTCTAGGATATAAGTTCAGAAGATCAACAAGACCTATATCTATTTCTGCTTACTATTCCATTTAGAACACAAGACACATAAACATATATTTGTTGAAAAAAAGACACTGGCAAACCACTAGAGAAGGGGCAAGGGGAGAGAGAGAAGACTGAGTCAATGACCCCTATATAGTTTTTTTTAATCACTATAACTTTTCAGATAATAACAAAATATAAAGCCATTTGATAGAAATCTATAAACTTGCTATTTTTCAGGGAAAAACATTCAATTCATGATGGTAGAGGTAGATTGGATAATTTACATGACAAGGTCAGCTGGAAATAAATTAGATGCAATTAAGACATAAATAAAGAAAACATAAGCTATATCTCTTTGTAATTTTTAGAATTTATATATAAGATTTATAGTTTTAATTATGTACTATTTTCTACTAATCCTAGGAACCAATCTGGGTATGAATTTTACTTATAAAAGGAAAAAGAACCTCAGTATCCTTGGATAAAAGTTTCCAATTTTAACTATAATATTTCCATCTCATATTCAGAATATCCTTGTTTGAGACTCCCAACAGATTTTTCCAGTCATAATGGCAAAGAATTATTCCCTTTCTTATTACATGCGAGTGTTCTTTTCTTCCTATTTCTTTTCTGACCTGCTTCCTGGGAAATAAAGTTTTGAAAACACAAAGGCTAGGTATATTATTTCTAAGTACTTTAACAGGTTATGCTGAATTCTATTCCTAGCTTTTAAACTAGTGAAAATAAATATATACTCATCCCATCATTCTACTGGAAGGTTTGGCCTTACTTGAATTAGTCTTATCTGTGCCAACCTAGGATTTCTCCTCAACCTAAACTCTGATTAATTCAAGTCCTCTCAGGAAGCCCACTGAGATTAACTCTACAGAATTCTAATTGTTTCTTTACTCTGCATATTTACCTACTCAGTTTGATGTTATTTTACAAAGTGTTTTTCAAGTACATGTTCCAGTTACTTTTTATTTTAAAGGACCTTAAAATCTGTTTTATTTTTATCCTCCATTCAAACCAATACCTGGATATAGAAAACATGATAAAAATGGTATGTGACTATGCCATCTGTGTTCTGAGTTAAGCATACAATAATTTGGATCAATGATTAAAATAATACAAGTCCAGCTTAGGCCATATATTATATCTTCTCTCAGACTGAAACCGACTTACTGTCCACCACTTCATGATTGACATTCTACAACACTACTGCACTAGTCTACACTTTCCCAGGATAGTGAGAAATGTATTTTGCAGTAAGAAGCAAAATATTTAAAAACCAGGATATCCAGTGTTCCTCCCTCAATTGACTAGTAGGCTTTTCACTCTGTTGGTTAAGATTAGATCAGCCTAACAGTCTTGATTCTGTATCAAGCTATGATGATTACTAGCCAATACTCAATTCTCTTCAGGGTATTCGAGAGATATATTCACGTAACAATTAGGGGCTAGGTCTATAATTTCCCTGGGTCATTCTACTCCTCGTTCTTTATTATGGAAGTATATTTTTCCATTACACCATTACTATATGAATATAAACTTGTTAAAAATGAATCCAAGTAACGCTAAAGTATACAAAATAATAAAAGTTCTTCAATCTTCAAGCATGTCATATACATACTATCTACAACCCAATGACATAATTTGATACATATTTTCCAGAACTTTTTTTACTATATTTACACAAATATAAGGTGTATATAAACTTTTTTTAAAGATTTTTTATTTATTTATAGGCACAGGGGAAGGGAGGAAGAAAGGAAGAGAAACATCAATGTGTGGTTGCCTCTTAGTCATCCCCTATTGGGGACCTGGCCCACAACCCAGGCATGTACAAGGTATACATTTCAAACATTTTTTTATTTTATAAATAAATATGTATACAGCGTAAAATGTTATATACAATATAAATACATTACATGCATGTTATCTATATGTGTATTTTTTACAAAAATGCAACCATACTATGAATATTATTTTGTTTTCAACTTAGCTTGTTTTAGAGGTCTTTCCATGTTTTTAGCCTACAAATCCAAATTTTGCATGGTTGTTGTCAATTTCTATCTTCAGATTCTATAGATAGTACGTCTTAATTTTCTGTCTTACAAGATTCCAAAGTAAACAGATAATTTAAGTGCCCAAGAAAATCAGTAGTATTAATTTTTCTATTGTAATATTTCTTAATTAAAATTAAAAGGGTTTTAGCAAATATTCAATTTAATGATTGTTGATCTTTCCTAAAATGCTTCAACCTCCTATAAATCCATATTTCAATTAAAAATGTTTATAAAGAATGCATACATTTAATAAATCAAAGTATAAAGTTAAGAAAAGCTAAATTTTCATAAAATGAAAAAGCAATATAATATAGCAAATTTGCCTACTAATTAGAAAATTTAAACTATTCATATTCTGACTCACTGAGGTAACTTGTACAAAAACAGAGCTGATGAAGAAATGTATTTAAAGAATTTTTAACAGTTTTAAAAAGAAAAAAGCTTTTTAAACTTCACAGAAACATTTACAATATAGAAACCACAAAAAGTAGGAGCAGCAAACTAAAAAAGCCACATAAGATTAAAGTATGGCCCTGACTGGTGTGGCTCAGGGGACTGGGCACTGGACTGAGAACCGAAGGGTCACTGGTTTGATTCCTAGTCAGGGCATATGCCTGGGTTGCAGGCCAGGTCTCCAGTAGGGGGTGTGTAAGAGGCAACCACACATTGATGTTTCTCTCTCCTTTCCCCTCTCTAAAAATAAATAAATAAATAAAATCTTGTTTTTAAAAGATTAAATTAAATGTGTCTAGTTTCCTCTCATACACAGAGGAACATTGGAGCAATGTCACAGTTTTGTTTTCTAATATGAGACATACTGCTTTGTTCTTCAAACTAGAAATAGAAGTCACATTATTGGATAACAAACTAACACCTACTACAAAATTTACTAATCTTACAAAAACTAATCTGAGACCATTTAAATAAGATATGCATTAATATAAACTGTTAGGTTTTTATTATCAAATGAAATTGTTAAAGGAAATGCTTTACTATTTCTAGTAGAAGATAAGCTTAATTTTTAGACTTCCATGAAACAATTAAATGTCAATACTTCCTAGATGGGGAAAAATGTATTCATAGAGTGGCATGATATGAAAGCCTATGGCTGCACAAAATCACTGCCATCATTACTGACAATATTTGCAGCTAGTCTGAACTTTCTGAGAT